CTGCTGAAATTGAAGTCGCCATCTCCACTGCTCGCGCAAACATCCCACCCTCCCACCCGCAACTTGTTTGGCAAAACTCATGACGCGGGGGGCGGCGGCGCCGCTGATGACGGCGTCGATGATAACATCTTCGCCGCCGGTGCTCGTCACCGTGAGTCGACGATGATGGCGAGCATGTCGACGATGCCCGGGCGCGCGCGATGACAAGATGACGTCGGCAACGTCTGCGACAATAGGGAAGTTTGCACCAGCGACGACGATGTTCAAGAGGGCGATGGCGCGAACGACAACTGCGCCAATGATGGCAAACGCGCTGACGATGCTGATGCCCATCTGTCGATCAGGCAGGTGATCGCGGTGGTGGTGACAAGGTTGAAGAGGAAATCCGCGCGCACGGGAGTTCCGCAAATCCGTCAGACTGATCATGCGCGCGCGGCGGTGCGCGCACGTGGCCCGCGTGGTTTTTGTTGCAAGGGGTTCGCGCCCTCGGCGCATGGCAGGAGCTTCGCGGGTGCACCGCGCGGTGACGCGAGATTGCTGGATCCGGCTGAGTTTAAAATAACGCCATGGTTGTTGTGTGATTTTGGCATGAGCGCGCGGACAGGAAATTGGCAAACATTCTTTGCAAAACCCTTTTTGTTCCCTACCTAGGCTCTGCCTAGCAGGGTTCTTACTCTCTTGGCTTAAAGGGGCCGGGCAGTGCAACCCACCCCGGGCGGTTCCCCCGGCCCCCTGGGAGCCAGGCAAAATCAACGGCAAAGGTAGAAGAAAACGCGCGGTTCCCCCAGTTGCGCTCCCCGGGCGCCGAGCAAAAGCAAAAGCAGAGGCAAAAGTGAAGGCAAAAGCAAAGGCTAATCAAAAGCATAGCATAGCATAGCATAGCGCAGCATAGCATAGCGCAGCATAGCATAGCCTAGCCTCGCCTAGCCTAGCCTAGCCCAGCATAGCATTGCGCAGCATAGCATAGCAGAGCAGAGCAGAGCATAACATTGCATAGGATAGCATAGCGCAGCACAGAATCCACTATTGCCGTTGCTTTCCGAGAGGTACCAACTCCTGGGTAGGGTCGCACTGGGGCAACTTGTTTTGGTTTGCGTGCTGAAGTGCTTGCAAACACATTGTGTTCGGTGCAGTTTTGACATGGGCGCGCGCGTGTTTTTTTTGCACGGGAGTCTTGATTTTTGATTTCTCGAGATGAAGAAGTGCGCGCGCATAGTATGATTTGACAGCGATGGCGGGGGGGGGCGATGCCGGCCTGGCTGGTGTCGCATGAGTTCATATTCAGGATGGACGAGTGCGCAGAATATTCATGAACTTGCAATACCCCAGGGGGGGCCGTTAACTCCGGAATGGGGGGGGGGGGGGGGGTATTTTTTTTGAAAAGGAAAATTCAGGCAAGGCCCGCGACACCCCGCCCAGTGTTGTCCTCGGTTGGCGGAGAGCGTTGGGTGGGTTTACTGGGGGAGTCTCTAAGGGGGTAGATGCCTAACCGCGTTTTTTGCTGTGGAGTGCGGTCGGAGAGACCCAGCTTTCTTTGCGATGTTTGATGCGATCGAGGCTTGGCTCCAGATTTTGACCCATGCTACTTTCGATGCCGATAAGACGAGGCGTGCCTGGCGTAGAGTAGCAGCTGAGTTGGAACCCAAGGCATCAGGAAACCGATGGCTATGCGCAGGAACCCCAGCGGCTGCCACGATCGCCACCCTGCTGGATGTAGGTCAGCGCCCTTGGAAACCCTGGGCGTGGGAAAGTGACCTCGGTGAGCTGTTTGCGATCTCAAAACCAAGCCCGGGCGAGGCAAGGCTGACGTCTCCGATCTGGTCGAGGCCGTGGCCCGAAGCAAGGAGCGACAGCCCTGGGGGGGGCGCTGCTGCCAACTCGTGGAACGGGTCTGGCTTGGAGCCAGTGCCAGACCTGCGCGATATCAAATCCCAGTTGAGGTTGCTCGCCAAGAAGGGCAAGCGCGCATGGAGAGGGACCCCGCGGGCTGCGGCTAATTTCTTGGATCAGCTGGCCAAGCGCAAGGCTCCAAGAATGCGGTCTCACCCAGGACAGCTCCTGTAAGAGATGTGGTGAGTCGGTGGAGCGTAATGTGCATCATGCTTGGGGTTGTCCTAAGAATTCATATGTTCGAGGGTCTCAGACTTCGCGAGAAGGCGTGCCCCTGCGGACTAGGGGGGCAATCCCAGCTTCTGGCTGCGATGGCCGACGCCGAGCAGCTGGGCCGCCGCGCCCCCCCCCCCCCCCCGAGAGCGAGGAGTTCCAGGCCTACGGGGGGGGGGGCTTGGAAAGGCCATGGTGGGCGGTTTTGTTGTTGGATGGGGGAGATGCTAGCGGGCGGCCTGACACTCAGGCCCCCGCCCACCGCAGAGCGTTTTGGTTTTGGGTTGCGTTCAGGGGCCTACGAGCAGATGGGCAGCATGACCCTGGAGAGCTCCAGGCCCACGCAGCCAGTTTCGGTGATGCGCCTGGATGGCGCCGCTCGGCCAACAGGGGGAAACGATGAGTTTTTTGCAGTTCTTGAAGGCTGTTCCCCCTGTTGCTGACGGCTTCTTTGTGGCAGAGTCTACGCATGATGTAAAACAAGAAAGTTCGTATCTTTTTTCTCAGGAGCCCCCCCTAGGCGCACGGCAGAGCGTCAAAGAAGTGTTGGCCGAGCACACGCCCAGAAGAGTCGCGCTTGCCAAAGTTGAGAGCCACAGAAAGGTTGAGGACATCAGCGGCCTGGGAACCGATCCCTTGGTTTTTCGGTTGAATGATTTGGCCGACCGCGTTGCGAACCAATGGGCTGATCAGATTCGCGCGTCTGCTGTCGCCAGAGACAGCAGGTCCCATGCCAAGGCGATTGCTGTCCAGGTTCGCCGGCACCTGGGCCACAGTCTGCTTGCATCGATCGAAGCCGACGGGAACCGTGTGCCCAGAGAGCCGCATTTGAAACCCAAGAGGCGTGATATCAATATTAGATTGCTGCTGGTTGCTCACCAACCAGCGTGGGGGAAAGGTTCCCAGGTCCGCTGTCATTGCTGTGGAGGTTGTGCGCCACACAAGTTGGCGGACAAGTTTTAGCGACCCATGCCACCAGGGCTCGTTCAAAGGGATGATTATGGTGCTCACAAAGAGCTCAGTCAAAGGCACGGATTTACGTAGCTCCCACACCTTGGCCTATCACAAGGGGTTTGGGAGCACAGTTTGTCTGGCCTGTGGCTGCGTGGCCACCGAAGCTGTCAGGAAGTCAGCGCAAGTTTGCACTTCCCAGCTGAAACAAGATGGCTGGCGTCAGTTGAGGAAAGTGCAGCAAGGACTGCCACCTGGTTCCTCCAAGCCTGCCCAGGTGCAAAGGGCCCAGAAGAGGGTCTTGCGTTAACTGTTCAACTCTGCCGAGGGCTGGAAAGAACAAAGTCGGACGTGCGCCCCAAAGGGGGTAGCAAGGTATTTATTAGTACGTATGTCAATTCTGCGCCCAGCATGTCTCTCGCCCCTCGACCCTATCCCCATCACTCCTTTGACTCGTCACCCAGGTTCTCCTTGCCCATGCCCATGCTCGGGCTCGATGACCCATGAGTGCTTCAGATGTTTGGCTCCCGTCTCGGACAGAGTCCGGACGGAGGAAGAGCAAGGACGAAGGAGGGACGAGTACGAGGGACGAGAGCTAGGGGAGGCGGGATGAGGGCGGACGGAGGCTGAGGGAGGCGTGAGGATGGAGAAGGGAGGAGGGGGCGCACGAGGGGGCAGGGAGGAGGGAGGGAGGGAGCCACTAGACTTGGGCCGAAGTCCCAAGAGGGTCAGCTCGGCCTTCCCCCCCGCCTCCGCGCTGGGCGCGCCCTGGAGGAAGCGCGGCCTTCGCGCGAACAGGACGGAACTTTTCCTGCCGTTCAGCCCCGGCCCCGGAAGATCTCCTGGCCTTGCTCCTCTTTTGTCACGAGCGGCGATTCTATCCTTACCCACGCCCTCGCAGTCTGGACTCTGGGGCGCGATCCCGCGGATGCGCGGTCGCGCGAATACGCTCCGCTCGGGGCAATTCGCGAAAAAGCGCCCCATATCCGCAAGGTCGGGGCCCGGCCCGCGAGGCCGCGGATACGGACACGTTTGTCGCCCAAGAATGTCTTCCCCCCGATCCGCGAATCAAACACTACAGTCTGCGAAAGGCCACGAAACGCTACTGAACCGAAGCGGCATCTGTTAGAATGCGCTTCCAGAAAGACCCACCTGACAAGACTACCACTCTGTTCTAGGCCTCCTAGATGGGGTCGGAGTAGATGGGGTCGGAGGATCGTGCCGCAGCGCCGATGCATCGGCGATGCATCGGCGATATGCGGCTCGATGTGGGGCTCAGTTTTCTCGACGCCGACGTCGCCGATGCATCGCCGACACCGCCAGCGTCGATGCATCGCCGATGTATCGGCGATGCGGCGAGATCCTCCGACCCCATCTAGGAGGCCTCTATCTGTGTACGGACACGTTTCTCGCTCTCCTCGTCCGATCCGAGGGAAGCGGTGGCCTGGTGCCGCTCGGAGCGCCGCAGGAAGGCCTGCCCTCCGCAGATCCACGGGGGCCTGGCGGTCCCGTCTCAGGCCTCGCTGGACGCGAGGCAGCTTCGCTCCACCTCCCATGCCTCAGAGAAGGGAAGGGTACCCACACCTCTACCCTTCCCTCGTTCTCTCCTTTTGGGGGCCTCCTGGGAGGTCCTCGTCGCCACCGCTGGATTCGCCTGGACATCCTGGTCAGATGCCCCAGGAGAGGCCCCCGGCAGTGGCGGTATTGGTACCTTTGGGTTTTTCCCCCCCTCCTCCTCCTCCTCCTCCTCCTCCTCCTCCTCCTCCTCCTCCTCCTCCTCCTCCTCCTCCTCCTCCTCCTCCTCCTCCTCCTCCTCCTCCTCCTCCTCCTCCTCCTCCTCCTCCTCCTCCTCCTCCTGCTCCTCCTCGGCCTGCCCGTCCCTCTCCTCCTCCGCGGCTGGCGGGGTCCAGGGGCCCGCGGCGGCCCGGGCCCAGCGCCCCCGGCAGGCACGCCGGCGGCGGCCGGAGGCCCTCGGCAGGGGCAGCCTGCGGCGAGGCCACGGGCGTGCGAGGCCACCTCTGCGCGGCGCCGCTCGCTCCAGGGGGGCGCCCTCGGGCCTCGCCACGAGAGGAGTCTCCCAGAAGGTCCTTCTACCAGGGACCTCCTGCTCCATCCGCTCCTCCTCTTCCTCGCTGCCTGTCGGCCACGCGCAGAGGGGGGTGGGGGGAGGGGGGAGGGCTTCTTAGAAGCACCCCTGCTTCTTGGAAGCGGCGGGCCTTGTCTGTAGATGTAAGGCCGGCGCCTTCTAAGAAGCAGCCTCCTTCTGAGAGGCCCTCTCTCCCTTCCCCCCCATACCCCCTGATGCGCGCCGCCGAGCCTGTTCCTTCAGCTCCCGTCTCCACTGTGCCGCCGGCCCTGCGGGGGGCCGCTCCTCCGGGAGCCCGCATGCAGGCCGCTCGCCGCTCGCCCGCTCGCCCACTCCGGCTCCGACACGGTTCACGAGCGGCCCGTCTGTCCCCGGAGTGTTCCAGAGGGGGGTCGGGGGGAGGGGGTGTTCCAGGAGGGGTTTCGCACCCCCTGTTTTGACGAGGTTCCGAGGCCCTTGGGTTTTTTTGGGGGAAAACCCCCTCCCAAAAAAACCTTTTGGAACCCTTTGGTGTCCCAGCCGCACCGGGTCCAGAGTAGGCACCTCCTGCGGGTCTCCGCCCAGCCACCACGCAGGCGTCGGGCTGCGAGGGCGGCCCTCTTCGTGCTCATGCTTCATGTCTGCCTTGAGCACGGCCAGACTCTTGGAGGTCATTGCTCCAGAGCTTGACGTAGACCTTGCCCTGCTGAGCGGAACTCAGCTGCGAGGAATTCTCTTTCCTGTTCTGCACCAGGATGGGGCGCACGACGTCCTGCTATACACGGCGCGCTCCCGACAGGCCTTGCCTCTCAGGATCGACGGAGGTGCCATCTCTCCCCCGAAGGAAGGTGGCGGAAGCAGAGTGGGGGCGCCTCCACCAGCGGAAACCAGCGGAGTTAAACATTGCCCTTCGACACAATGGTTCCGAGTTCCCATTCGATGCCGATCTGGCTTCCCGTTTCCGATTGCCGAGCCGATGTGGCGATCGCCGATATGGGGCCTGCGATCCCGGTCTGGCTTCCCGATCTGATGTTGGCCCTGGCTGCCACGGGCAGGCTGGGAGCGCAGCCCCCTCTCCAGGCAGCAGCGCGGGCACGACCTCTGCTCGTGGACGCCGCGCCCACACCGCACGCGCCCAGCGGCCAGCACGGCGGCCCCCAGCGCCTCGCCAGCTGGCAGAGGAGGTGCTTTCGCTAAGTTTAAGTCAGGCCTGTCCCTCTACAGAGGGAATATTCAAAAAAAATAGACACGTAGTCTGGGGATTATTACCTAACAGCGAAGACTGATAGGTTTCTAGTTGACTCAAAAGAGCTCACAGATCACTCCACAGGGGGGTCCGGGCAGGCGTTGGGAGTTGCCGGGCGGCAGGGGGCCCCGCTCGTTTTTCACCAACAGTCACACACTTCGTGCTCTTCGAGTTCCCAGAACTCCATTCCCAGGCCACATTCTGGAGGGCCTGATGCAACAGTCACACACTTCGTGCTCTTCGAGTTCCCAGAACTCCATTCCCGGGCCACATTTTGGATGCCCGGAGCCAACTGTAGGCCACTTCGTGCTCTTCGAGTTCCCAGAACTCCATTCCCGGGCCACATTTTGAATGCCCGGAGCCAACTGTAGGCCACTTCGTGCTCTTCGACTTCCCAGAACTCCATTCCCGGTTTTGGATGCCCGGAGCCAACTGTAGGACTTCGTGTTGAGGAACTCCATTCCTGGGCATGATTTTGAATGCTGAGGCCAGGCCACATTTTGAATGCTGAGGCAGGCTGAGGCTGAGGCTGAGGGCTGAGGCTGAGGCAGGCTGAGGCTGAGGCCGAGGCTGAAGGCCGACTGAGGCTGAGGCTGAAGCAGGCTGAGGCTGAGGCTGAGGCAGGCTGAGGCTGAGGCTGAGGCAGGCTGATGCTGAGGCAGGCTGAGGCTGAGGCTGAGGCTGAGGCTGATGCAGGCTGAGGCTGAGGCAGGCTGAGGCTGAGGCCGAGGCTGAAGGCAGACTGAGGCTGAGGCTGAAGCAGGCTGAGGCTGAGGCTGAGGCAGGCTGAGGCTGAGGCTGAGGCAGGCTGAGGCTGAGGCTGAGGCTGATGCAGGCTGCAGGCTGAGGCAGGCAGGCTGAGGCTGAGGCCGAGGCTGAAGGCAGACTGAGGCTGAGGCTGAAGCAGGCTGAGGCTGAGGCTGAGGCAGGCTGAGGCTGAGGCTGAGGCAGGCTGAGGCTGCTGAGGCAGGCTGAGGCTGAGGCTGAGGCTGAGGCAGCAGGCTGAGGCTGAGGCAGGCTGAGGCTGAGGCCGAGGCTGAAGGCAGACTGAGGCTGAGGCTGAAGCAGGCTGAGGCTGAGGCTGAGGCAGGCTGAGGCTGAGGCAGGCAGGCTGAGGCTGAGGCTGAGGCTGAGGCTGAGGCTGAGGCTGAGGCTGAGGCAGGCTGAGGCTGAGGCTGAGGCTGAGGCTGAGGCTGATGCTGAGGCTGAGGCAGGCTGAGGCTGAGGCTGAGGCAGGCTGAGGCTGATGAGGCTGAGGCAGGAGGCTGAGGCTGAAGCAGGCTGAGCTGAGGCTGAAGGCTGAGGCTGAGGCTGAGGCTGATCTGAGGCTGAGGCTGAGAGGCTGAGGCTGAGGCTGAGGCAGGCTGAAGGCAGACTGAGGAGGCTGAAGCAGCTGAGGCTGAGGCTGAGGCTGAGGCTGAGGCAGGCTGAGGCTGAGGCTGAGGCTGAGGCTGAGGCAGGCTCAGGCTGAGGCAGGCTGAGGCTGAGGCCGAGGCTGCGGGCAGACTGAGGCTGAGGCTGAAGCAGGCTGAGGCTGAGGCTGCTGAGGCTGAGGCTGAGGCAGGCTGATGCTGAGGCAGGCTGAGGCTGAGGCTGAGGCTGAGGCAGGACGGCAGACTGAGGCTGAGGCTGAAGCAGGCTGAGGCTGAGGCAGAGGCAGGCTGAGGAGGCTGAGCAGGCTGATGCTGAGGCAGACTGAGGCTGAGGCTGAGGCTGATGCAGGTGAGGCTGAGGCAGGCTGAGGCTGAGGCCGAGGCTGAAGGCAGACTGGCTGAGGCTGAAGCAGGCTGAGGCTGAGGCTGCAGGCTGAGGCTGAGGCTGAGGCAGACTTAGGCTGAGGCTGTGACTGCGACTGCCGTTGCCGCTGCGACTGTCATCGCGAATGCGACTACGACTGCGAGAACAGCAGAATTCTACAACTGGGTTCTCATTTGAATCTTAAGGGGAATGCTCCCAGATATGCTCCTACACATCGCTGTTAGGTTGCTTTGCCGGGATAATTTTTCTATCATTTTGGGGCATTTCATGAGTATTGTAGTGGCCTCCGGCCAGTGCCGCCGATCCAGGGCGCTCCGGATGATGATGATGATGATGATGATGATGATGATGATGATGATGATGATGATGATGATGATGATGATGATGATGATGATGATGATGATGATGATGATGATGATGATGGTGATGTGACGATGGTGATGGTGATGGTGATGGTGATGATCCCGGCCCCCAACCCCCCTCCTCTCTCCTGTCCCTCCCCCCTTTTCTCCTGCCTCCACAATTATTCAATATGAAAATACTCTCCCTCTTCCCCTGATGGCGTCCGGGTGATGGCCGCGCATTCTCCGCGTATTGTTACCTAACAGCTTTTGCTGATAGGTTTCTAGTGGTGTCAAAAGAGAGCATCTGGACTCCACAGGGGGGTCTGGGCGGGTGCCGGGGAGGAGGGCCGGGAACAGAGCCGGGCTCGTTTTAAGCCAACAGTCACACACTTCGTGCTCTTCGACCTCCCAGAACTCCATTCCCGGGCCACATTTTGAATAACCGGAGCCAACAGTCACACACTTCGTGCTCTTCGACCTCCCAGAACTCCATTCCCGGGCCGCATTTTGGATGCCCGGAGCCAACTGTAGGCCACTTCGTGCTCTTCGAGTTCCCAGAACTCCATTCCCGGGCCACATTTTGGATGCCCGGAGCCAACTGTAGGCCACTTCGTGCTCTTCGAGTTCCCAGAACTCCATTCCCGGGCCACATTTTGAATGCCCGGAGCCAACTGTAGGCCACTTCGTGCTCTTCGAGTTCCCAGAACTCCATTCCTGGGCATGATTTTGAATGCCCGGAGCCAACTGTAGGCCACTTCGTGTTCTTCGAGTTCCCAGAATTCCATTCCAGGGCCACATTTCATGCTGAGACAGGCTGAGGCTGAGGCTGAGGCAGGCTGAGGCTGAGGCAGGCTGAGGCTGAGGCCGAGGCTGAAGGCAGACTGAGGCTGAGGCTGAAGCAGGCTGAGGCTGAGGCTGAGGCAGGCTGAGGCTGAGGCTGAGGCTGAGGCTGATGCTGAGGCAGGCTGAGGCTGAGGCTGAGGCTGATGCAGGCTGAGGCTGAGGCAGGCTGAGGCTGAGGCCGAGGCTGAAGGCAGACTGAGGCTGAGGCAGAAGCAGGCCGAGGCTGAGGCTGAGGCAGGCTGAGGCTGAGGCAGGCTGAGGCTGAGGCTGATGCAGGCTGAGGCTGAGGCTGTGACTGCGACTGCCGTTGCCGCTGCGACTGTCATCGCGAATGCGACTACGACTGCGAGAACAACAGAATTCTACAACTGGATTCTCATCTGAATCTTAAGGGGAATGCTTCCAGATATGCTCCTACACATCGCTGTTAGGTTGCTTTGCCGGGATACTTTTTTTACACACAGGATGCCCGGGAAATCCCGGGAAACGACTCTCGCTGAGGCGCCGGCGTCATTTTCGGGCCGACCGCCCCCCGCGTATTGTTTTTTTACACACAGGATTCCCGGGAAACGGGTTTTCGCCTGCGTTTTTTTAAAAATGTGCTCTCGCTGAGGCGCCGGCCTCATTTCTGCTCCCGAGTCGTTCCGAATCGTGCTCCCGCTGCAGCGTGGGCCTCATTTTCGGATCGGTGTTTGGCCTCCGTCGTTCAGGATGGCGTTCTCGCCCCAGCGCGGGCCTTTTTCTCGCGCGCCCATCCGCCCGCCACCACCGCGCCGCACCACCACACCACCACCACCACCACCACCACCACCACCACCACCACCACAACCACCACCAGCACCACCACCACCACCACCACCACCACCACCACACCACCACCACCACCACCACCACCACCACACACGCACACACGCACGAACACGCACGCAGCTGCACAACCACCCCACTAATACGCACGCGCGCGCGGAGCCACAGGTCCGCTACGACACGCTCCGCGGATAGAGAAAATCAGCGCCATGGTAAGGGATGGAGGGAGGGGTAGGAGGTCAGATATGACGCGAGCGCACCTAGCTTGTCCCCCCCCCCTCTCTCCTTTCCCCTCCCCCTCCCCCCTCTCTCCTGTCCCCCCCCCCTCTCTCTTATTCAATATGAATACTACTTGAATCACCACCCTCCTTAGTAAGTGCTTGCGGCAGATGTAAGCGGATACACCACTTACAACCTGTTTAAGTAATTTGCCCAGGGCGTTGCTAACCAGGTTAGGTAAGTTGTTTGTAACCAGGTTAGCGAACCAGGTTAGCGACCTCGCTAACCTGGTTAGCTAAGTGGGCCCCCCGAACTGGGCCTTCGTGGGCCCGAAATCATCCAACCACAAACCCTTACTAAGAAGGGTGCAGGTTCAAGAAGCTTGATTATCCTTCCTCATCCTTCTTCCTCCTCCCTTCGCCTCCCCTCTCCCCCCACTACGGGGCGCGGGGCGCGCCGCGTCTCCCGCGTCGCATTCTTCGAACAGGCGCGGTGGGGGGGGGGTCAGCCGAGACGACGGTGACGACGATTGCAGGCGCCCTTCCTTCTATGCTGCTACTACTACTGTTGTTCCTAGGAACAACAGTAGTAGTAGCAGCATTGTTTCTCAGCCCCGCGCAGCCCTGAGCTGGAGCTTCGGAGGAAAAAGGACAGTTGAAACCTGACCCTCAGCAG